TGGCCGTTACAGGAACTGCAGGTTGTGGTACTTTACAGCCATGGAGGTTGCTGATTGGGTAAAACACAAACATCCCGAGTACAACTTTATACTGAGAAGTCCTCAAAAAACTAGATGATTATCAATGATTTTAAAAATGTTTTCTGACGACTTTAAACCTAAAATTCAAATAACTGGATTTTAGACAGTTTAAGACCTCGCGGACGTCCTGTTGCCTTTTAACAGACATAAACAGGACTAATCCTTTAGTGAACCTTCAGTTGGAAACGTTGGAGATGTTGGTTCATCCAGACTTTATTGTTGTTTTCTTTGCTGTGTTTGACTTTAAGATGGAAGAATGAAGCAAAATACTAAATAATCAATCTTTATCATCTTTAACCTGTTTTTAAGAATGAACTCATCGTGGAGGCCATATATCTAAAGAACTCTAAAGCTATGCTAACTGTGCTATTAAACTTTGTGACCTTACAGGATGTCGGAGCAACTTAAATTGATGTTATAAAATATTGTTTTATTTTCCTCCATATTTGGGCCTGTGCTGATGTTTGAGCGTCCTATATGTGCTGTATATGAATCAGTGTAACAGCTTCATTAAGTTACAATCTCAAATGTTAGCTTTGCTTTTCCAGCTCTAAGTGTTTTTATTAATCACAGATTTAATAAGAATTATTTACAACCACATCCGTCAGCAAACATCATTTCACAAACTGAGAATCTTCTTATTCAGGAGAAAAGAACTTCTGAACATGGCAGAGGAATATTATCCAGTGTCCATTTATTTATTTATCATTCACTACTTTATTTCTAAACATTTTTTTTTTAAGAAATTCAAGTATTTGTTGGGAACACAAGTCAAAAAACAAACAAAAAAAAACTTTTTTGCTAAAACGAAGACAAAACATCAGTTTAAAACATCAGTTTCATATTTAGAATAATAAAAACATCAAGTTTCTTTTCATAGAAGAAAAACAAGTCTAATGTCTAAAGATGACCGTCTGTCCGTCCGTCCGTCCCGCTCTGCGTCAGTTCACCGTCGGCGTCCGTCGGCTGGAGACCCGACGGCCTGAACGGAGGGAACGCACTCGTCAGCTGATCTCTGAACAGTGTGCAGGGAGGGAAAAGACCAAACGCAGGTCGGTCACCTGGTTTAAAAACTGTTCCTCACCTGGAAGGATCTCTACTAACACAACAACAGAAAATAAAAGAAAGAAAAAGAAAGAAAAAGGCCCGAAGGGAAAAAGTTTGGATTCATTGTTCCCTAAATTACTGACAACTGTTCCCTAAAAGCACAAATATCTGTGTTTAGTTTGAGATTAATCAGAATATAAACATCCTTTCTAGGAGACAATCTCCAGGTTTTTATGGTCTAAATGATCAATACAAGTAATCAGATGACCCTTCTTAAGCCCCGCCCCTTTTTTGCCCTGTGCTCCAATCACAGTTGAGCTAGCCTCGGTCCTTCTAATCTACGCTGGAAAGACGACCACATTTTAAAGATGGTTGAACGAAGAAAATATAGTCACATCTTGATTCAGCTAATATTAGAGAAACAGCTAACGAGCTAATCTACATCAATCATTAGTTAGTTAGTTACATCTGAAATCTTAGCAAACTAATTTATATCAATCGATAGTTTGATAACATTTTCTAACTTTAGCCAACTTAAGATCTGATTATTTATCTTTCTTGATGTAGATTAGCTAGCTAGTTAGAATCTTTCTAACCGTAGCGAACTTAAAAACAGGAATATAGTCGCATCTTATCTTTTAACCATCTTCAAAATGTTTCTTTT